CCACCGAGAGCAGAAACTGTTTATACCTTACTTTTGCTTGTGGATTGAGGACGTTGTACACTCTAAATGAATTGAAAAGTCCACAGTTTATAAGGTACAGCACTACTTTTTTTTTTGTCCATTTCATCGTTTTCCTTAGAATGGAACAACATGAAAGGAATTGATCCGCACGGTCAACGCCTTTCATGTGGGCATTGTATTCCTTGATGCAGGTAGGTTTTACAATATTCTCTCCCGTTTTTCTATTTTCTTTTTCCTGTTGTCGAGACAGAAGTGTCATGGATCGTTGATATCATTTGGACAACCCGCTTGTCTTTCCATGTTAGAAGAAGAATATTGCCTTTTCTGGAAAATATTATGTCACCTTTCTTCATTCTTGATGTTTTCATTTTCAAATTTGGCGGTAAACCTCTACTCTCCCTAATAGTCCCACAGACTCTAGTTTTGTTCTGTAGCAGCAATTCAGCAGTAGATGTAGCATTGTAATAATTATCCTGGTAAATATGGTGCCATATACCAAGATAGGGTCCAAGGACTGAAAGAACAGGTTCTTGCAATTTCCTTCCTTCTGCAGTGTATATCTCCATATTGCAGATATAGCCAGTGTCACTCTCGCACACCATCCGAACAAGTAAACCGTATTTTGTTATTTTTGCTGGGTTGTATGTGCGAAATTTGAAATGTCTTCTCCATGGAATCATTCCCTCGTCCAAAGACAACTGTTGCTTTGGTTTGTATATTGTTTGAAATTTATGCAGGAAATAATCCAGCACAGGTTGGATCTTGAAAAGTCTCCTCGAGCGACTGTGCATTTTGGCGTTATCATTGAAATGCCAGAATGTCCATATTTGCTCAAATCTATGGCGACTCATTGTCTGTGGAAATATAGGGGTACATATCAAAGGATCTGTTGACCAATAGTCTTTCAAGCTATCTTTTCTTGTTTGACCCATCAGAATAATTAGTCCAAGGAATTTCTTGATGTCCTTCTATGTAATCAGAGACCACTTTAGTGTTCTAGATGGTGTTTTACGTTTCATTGCGGTTTGATTGTGATAGTTGGACAGCTCTTTGCACAACATCTCAAACAATTCATCACCAAAAAAGAGATTGGTCACAGAGGGTACAGAGACACACTGAGACGGAAATGTAGTGACCCCAGCATGACCTTCAAACATTTGTAAGGTGGTGGTGTGTCAATTTCAGACCAACAATTATCAGTAGCTTCCTCAGTGTCAGAATCACTTGAAAGCACCGCCACCTTGAGCTTCCTTCCAGGTCTAATAATTTCACTGTCAGTAGAATCAGTAGAATCATCTCCGGAATCGTCAAAACAGTCATCTGCATCTTCGATCTCACTAGGAATATCTGATAAATTATCGTTAAATACTTCCGGAAGTGTATCAGTTTCGTTGGTTTCCTTCCTTTTTCTGAGAGAGGGTATTTCTAAAAGCGCCAGGAACTTGAAGATGAAGACTATTCGAATGACCAAAATACAATGTAACTGCAATGCGCCAGGAACTTGAAAACGAAGACTATTCGAATGACCAAAATACAATGTAACTGCAATGCTTTATGGGTTCGTGCAATTATATAGTTTTTCGTAGATTGACCTGCATGGTTTCCACCAATGAGATCGCTTCATTTGATGAGGACTGTGCCGCGCCAGCACGGCCAAGGGTGTCTCTGGGTGGGTGGGTGGAGGTGTGTGAAAGGATTAAGGAAAGACAGTCAAGGGAATAATAGCTGGGTCTCGGTGGGACGCTGCTCCCTGAAGAGGAGACAACGCCGGCGCCCACAAGCCGTGTCTTTATTTTATAGCAGATGCCACGAGGCAAAGTAGGGGCATGATCATGTTGTTTACAGCATTCTCATGAGTCTCAACCCTACTCAACTACATGTACCTAAACTCTATCACAAGGCATGTGGGGCTACATGTTTGGACCATAGATTCAAGCTTACAACCACAGCCGTTGGCTATGATTGTGCTGGGAGGGCACTACCCTCCAGCTGGGACTTGCACGTGGCAGTGAGAGGACCCTGTCCTTTCATTAGTCCAAGGCTTGAACCTGGCTAAAACACTGTAACCACGCCCCACAGTGGACAAGACAGTGTATTGACATCTAAGGTCCATAACAGATGGTGTGTGAAAAAATGAGAACACTCATGAGCGGTCCTTAACAGATGGCGCACGAAACACGAGAAAACTCCTGAGCATTACGCAATGTGTTAAGAGCAGCAGGAGAAAAGTAGTTAGTTACCTACAAGGGAGCTCCCATTAAACTGTCAGCTCATCCACTTGTGGGAATATATCTTAAAAATGCTGAAATACCAGTCAGAAAGAATATATGCATACCCATGTTTATAGCAGCGTTATTTATAATAGCTAAGATTTGGAAGTGCTCATCAATATAGATGAATGGGTAAAAAAGCTGTGGGACATTTATACAATGGAATGCTATACAGCTATAAAAAAAGAGGAATCTCTTACTCTTTAGGACAACATGGATGGACCTGGAAAATATTATGCTAAGTAAAATAAGCCAATTGGAGAAAGACAAATATCACATGATCTCACTTATTTGTGGAATCTAATGAACCAAATGAATTGACCAAAATAAGACCCGAAGCATGGAGGCATGGAACAGACTGACATACCTTGATGTAGGGATAGGGGAACAAGAAGAGATAAACCAAAGAACTTATATATTTACTAGAGGCCTGGTGCACGAAATTCGTGCATGGGTAGGGTCCCTAGGCCTGGCCGGCTATCAGGGCCGATCTGGGCCTTCCAGCTGCCATATGGGGCCTCCATTTTCTGGCTGCCAGCTGCCAGCCCTGGCCTTCTTTCCCCGGTTGCTGGGTCTTCCTTTGTTGTGCCCCACCCCCTGGTGGTTAGCACATGTCATAGCAAGCAGTCAAACTCCTGGTCTCTCGGTTGAACTCTGAGGGGACACTTTGCATATTAGCCTTTTATATATAGAGATATGCATAACCCATGGACACGGGCAATAGGATGTTGAAGACCTGAGGTGGGTAGGGTCTGGGACAAAGAGGGTAAAGTTGGGGGGAATGGGAAACATCTGTAAATCTGTAATACTATCAACAATAATCCTATCTAATAAAAGACAAAAGGGTAATTAACCGTACCTCCGCTACACTTCCCTTTGGCTAATCGATGAGATATGCAAATTAACTGCCAACAA